GTTGCTTCTCTCCTTGATTAGTTTCCACCCATTGCTTCTTGTCCTGCCCTCAGGTGCTCTGGAAAATCTTTAAAAATATTTTTTAGGGCATATATATTCCATTGATGTTCCTTAGTTCCAGATAAACAAAATTTACAACCAATACATTCAGGAAGCTTCAACACAGTACTGAATATGAGTCTTGATTCCGTGACCATATTTTCTTGGAAAAAAAATAAAGGACAAGCCTGACATCTGGAGGAAGAAATGATGGACTGAAGACAGATGTATAAAAATGAAAGCTAATAACTGCAGTGAGGAGGGAAGAGGTGGCAAGCTGACCACTTCTTTGAATGTCTCCAAATCAAGGAGAAGACCAGCCACAAGAAATCCAAACAGTTGCTCTTGAAAGGAGACCACAAGACAGAGTCTCCAATGGATTTTGAGCACTAGAAGACAAGGGAATAGTAATCTTGTTCATACCATGGTCAATGCCTTTGAAAATGCACTAACTTTGCATACTTGTTTTTATAATCACTTTTGGAAATTTCTTATTGACTACTTTTCAGCTGTTATAAATTTTTTGATCCAACAAGTTTAAAAACACCAGGTGACTCTGCCTTCAATTCTTAGTTAAAAAAAATATATAACTACAAGGTTAAATTTTTTAAAAAGGTTTTTAAATAAATGCAAAAACCTGATTAAAACTTTGATTTTATAAAGCTACAAATAAGTAAGGATCCATATAAATTTGAAATAAGATTTTTGAATTTATAACAATCCTTCTAGTGGTAAAATACTTTTATTTTTTATTTTTTAAAAATCATAACAATTTTAAAAATTGGACACTAGAGGGAACTAACAATTTCTATTAAAAGAGAAGAGCATATAAACTTGACTGTCAGTTACAGATTGGTGCAAAATATTCCAACATGAAATACTGATACTTTCAAAAAAAATCATGATCAAAAATTAATGTTAACAATATCAAAAGCAAGATCTCTCTTTATGAATAAACTGTCTAAAAGATGTAACAAAAGAGGATCAAGGCAGAGACTGAGTTAAAAATGGATTTATAAATGACTGGCTATAGGAATGTCATGGAAAAGTATGTTATATAAGTATGTTATACATACAAAAGAAATTAGCTGATGTTTTAATAATTAAGCAGAGCAAACAAACATGGAAATGATATACCAGCACAGTTTAATTAGAATCTGTGACCTCTGACCTTCTTTTCTTTAATCCCAGATGCATGAGAACTAGTCAAGGATGCTCATAACTAAAAAAGGAGAAGGTTACAACCGTGATCTTGACATACCTACATTCAAATATGCACATGTATTTGCTATGTAGTTAAATGCACCCAGTTACATTGCTGGATAGTTAGCATTTAGGTGTAACTTAAGATGCCAGTTGTCACCTTAAAAAATCTTCATGGCATAGGGTGTTGAGGCACCATTTGTCTCCATTTGTCTTCTGCCTATCCAATAAAATACACTAGGGACGATCCAGGTGCCTTCATTTAAACAATGCCACATAGTATCATCCAGAGGCATACCTATGTGTCTGCCCTTTGGCACAGCATCTCCCCAGAGGTTTGCATGGCTCCCACCCTATACTGTTCTAGTCTTTGAAAAGGTTCCTTTGCTCCAGGCCTAAAGCTGTTGGTTTGTTTAATGTGGAGTTTGTTTATTTTTTGCAATGGGTGATGTTTAGCAGGTGTACATGTTCTTTTTTTACTTCTTTGAACTATGTAAGCTGCCCAGAGTCTTTTGGGCACTGGGTGACCTTTCCAAATCTACATAAATGTGTTCATTTTTCTCAACTTCGGACTACTGTTGAGAATAAAGCTGTGGCCACTGAACACCTGTGCCAGTGGCCCCCAACCTTTTGAGCACCAGGGACGAGTTCCTGGGAGAACCAGGGGCCGGTTCCATGGACCGGAGGGGGCATGATTTTGCATGCAGCCTGCATTCCGCAGATGGGGTTTCGTTTGTTTGTGTGGCCTTGTTGCTGCCACGGACCAGTCGTGTCCACAGATCGGTGGCTGAGACTCTTGTCCTATGGGAACAGAAGATGGAGAGGGGCAAATGTTCACCTCCAAGTTCTGCAAATTTAAAACAGATCAGTAAATCATTTTTGTTACAATTTTGGATGTACCAGATAAGAACTTTTTTTAAATTTTTAGTAATAAATTGGCTCAGATCTCGGACATGATTGGAAGGTTGACTCAGCCTTCCATCCTTCTGAGACCAGTAAAATGAGGACCCAGATTGTTGGGGGC